ATTAACCAGAACATGCATTAATTACCAAAGACACTCCCTGAAGCAATGGGTTAAAACCAGCAGGTTTGGGAAAAATGGTCCCTCACTTGGGGCAGAACGTAAAATGTGCCTAAAAGCACCTGGAGAGGCCATCAAGGCCTTAAGCAAATGACCAGCCTAAAGCGTGAGGTGAAGTATCATGCGAGTACACCGCAAAACCAAGCCCAGCAATGAAGTTACTAAAAACGGGGCTTTCCATGAAAGAAGCTGCCACATGAAATGTCTTCCTTCAAGTCACTGCATGAAGGAGCATTAGCCAAACACAGGCGCAGTGAAAAAAGCACAAAAATGAATCTGCATCTCTTGCCCAAGATGAGGTATGATTAATTCAGTGCATCTATTAGCTATACGCTGCATCACCCTCCTGCTCCCAGCTCAGGGCCATTATCATTGCACAAGGACTTGCTATGCTTTTCCTCCCACACTCATAACTAGTAAATCCTGTCAGGTGTCTGGGCTTCTTTTTTTTTTTTTTTTCTTTTTTCATTTTAAATTCTTTTTTTTTTTTAAGATTGTATTTATTTATTTGTCAGAGAGAGAGAGCACGTGCACAAGCAGGTAGAGGCAGAAGCAGGCTCCCTGCCAAGCAAGGAGCCCAATGTGGGACTCGATCCCAGGACTCTGGGATCATGACCTGAGCCGAAGGCAGCGGCTTAACTGAGCCATACAGGCATCCCTCATTTTAAATTCTTATAATAAAATAATTTAAAGTTTAAAGAAAAAGCTGCAAAAACAATAATGCAAAATACCCATATATCCTTTACCCAGATTCATTTATCATCGACACTTTTACCTTTTCTTCCCTCCTCCTCTGCCCTGCCTCCACCTCCCCTCTGTCTATAGATATATTTATATATTTGTGTACGTACACATGATGGTCCTTTATTCTTAAATACTTCACTGTGTATTTCCTAAGAGCAGAGATACTCTCTTACATAAGCACAACATAGTTATCAACGCTAGTACTTTTAACATCAATACAATAATTTTATCTAATCTAGATCCATATTGCAATTGTGAAAACTGAACCAACAATGCTTTTTAAGGCTGCACAACACTACAAGGTGTGGATGTGCCACAGTTTTTTTAATTACTTATCTTGGGTATTTATGCAGCTCCCAATATTTTTGTGGTTAGTAATTAGGCTGTAATGAATAATGTATGTATTTTCATGTTATTAAAGGCATCTCTTCAAACCCATCCATAATTTTGTTAGATACTGCGGAATTCTCCTCTGCACAAGGTTGCACTGTTTTGCATGCCATTAGCAACACGAAAGAATTCCTGTTGCCCCACAAACTATCCACAGCACGAACTGTCGAGCTCTGGAATTTTGGCCAATCAGATGGGAAAAAAAATCTCTCTCAGTGTAGTTTTAATTGGAATTTATTTTAAGTGAAGTTCAGCATCTTTGAATATGGCTAATAGCCATTTTCTCATCTTTTCTATGAAGTCAAGTTTGTCAGTTTTTCAATGGGATTGGTTTGGGGTTTCTTTTTTGCCTTTTTTTTTTAAGTTCCTTGTATATTAGAAATATTAGAATTTTGTGTTATGTTGCAATTACTTTCTCCCAACCTATCATTTGTCTTTGCTTATTGTTTCTGCCATCCAGAAGTTCTCAAAATTTCTATGTAGGAATGCATCAGTCTTTTCTTTAATGCCTCTGGATTTTCACTCCTAGATTGAAAGTCTTTCCCTGAACCCGTGTTTTAGAGGAATTCACATCCACATTGTTTTCTGGTACTTGCATACTTTCATTTTCATATTTGGATTCCTGATTCATCTGGAGTTTATTCTTGAATGTGATGTAAGAAATGGGTCTATTTTTTTATCTTTCCCCGAATCACTGTCCAATTATTCCAATAGGACTTTAAAAAAAAATAAATCTCTGGGTGGCTCGATCCACTGAGCACCTGTCATCCGTTCAGGTCATATCTCGGAGTCCTGGGATTGAGCCCCACACCAGGCTCCCTGCTCAGCGGGGAGTCTGCTTCTTCCTCTCCCTCGGCCCCTCCCCCTACTCCTCTCTCTCAAACAAATAAAATCTTAAATAAATAAATCTGCCCAGTGATCCAAGAGTCCATCTTTATTACATATTAGATTTCTGTACAGACCAAGGGCTATTTCTCAACCTTTCCTGCTATCCCATTGGTCTATTTACACACAAATCCCACAGTTTTACCTGCTGGGTTTTTTCCCATCACTTATTTCCCATTCCTTCCATTAGTACCTCAATTCAGGCAGCAGCAACCCTTTGAAATAAAAGCTGGAGAAACCTTGTGAGAAGATTGGCTCTCAATGATACACTACTTACCATTCTACTTTTCCTGTTCATATAACATGCTGAGCCCTTTTGCAGGAATCAATGATATTTCTAGATGATACAGATCAGGTTTTCCTCAACTGTTTCAGAGACAGAAATAACAAGCAGACAGCTCCCTGAGATGGGTGTCAAGGAGGTATAAATTGTACCACCTCTTTTTGCCAATCTATCTGAAGGTTAATCTACTACATTCTTCAGAAATTACAATTTTTACTAAGGAAGGAAAAACAAATAAGACGAGCTCCTGCGTTTGCTGTCATTTCCTGGTCTCTGGCCTCTCAGAGGACAGTGCTATGGCAAGAGCATGTAGCAGTGCAGCAGTCCTTTTACTGGAGCCTATCTGCTCTTCCAGAAAACTAAAATTGCTTCTCCCAAGTCCTGCTTTTCAAGGTACAACACCTGCATTACCCAACCCTTTCCACCCTCTCTCTCCTGGCAGTTTAAATTCCCAGCAACAAACACAAGGGAGAACATTGCCTGTCCTCCCTGTTGTAACAAATTTTAACTGAAATTTATTAAAATGTGTCCATACTAGGGACAGTTTGGACACAATAAATCTCTAGAAGTGTGTCCTTCAGAAACTGAGATAATAAAGGGAGAAAAAAGTAAGACAGGAATACAAAATTGTAGGAAGCCCCAGTAAATTTCTTTGGCTTGTAGAATTTCTTAAGTGATTTTAATAGGACTGTAATTGGTGGCACAATAGCTAGAGATGACTGCCGTATCAGGAAGGCCACTAGAGGCTACACGATATCTTGGTTCTTCCTCAGGCATCCTGACGATCCTTCTAGCTACTGAAAAAAGGCAGAGATCCAGGACTTTCATGCATTCAAATATTTACTGTGTGCCTTGAAGACCTTATGGAGAAAAAAAGGTTGCCCCTGACTGCACTAAGTTTAAGTGGCCCCACAACGCACATGCATTTACAGAGAAGATGAATCTAGGCCCCAAGCAAGTTCTTTGTGATGTAGAGGGTCCATGGGAGATGCCTGCCTAAAAGGAACTCAAAGCAACAAGCCAGGCTGCCTGCATAGAAACCACCTGGGTTTTAGATTTCCAGCCCCCTATCCTGAGATTCTATTTCAATAGCTCTTGGCTCTGCACGGCAATAATACAATTAATCTATGTGATCTCTCATAAAACTCCTTTGTTTTCTATAAAGTTAGGCTGGGGCATTAAGCTTAGCAGGAAATTGCTCTAGTCCCTGGGAGGCCAGTCCTTTTAATAACTAAACCATCTAATTCATTTCAGCTATTATCCTGAATACTATAAGCAGTGATTCTCAGCCAAGGGTCAATTTTGCCACCCAGGAGACATTTGGCAATGGTGGGAAACCTCCTTAGTTGTTACAGTTGGGGGGTGCTACTGGCATGTAGCAGGTTGAGGCCAAGGGTGCCACACCACATCCTATGATGCACAAAACAGCCAGGACAGCCTCCAAAACAAAGACCTATCTGGAATAAAATGTCAATAGTGCAGCGGTCAAGAAACTGGCTAAGTTTAAAAGAGCAAGTAAACTCTAGAGCAACATGTTCCTGATGGTTACTTTCCTCATCTCAGAAGTGGATGAAGTCAGCTTGCGTTGCATGGTGAACCTGAAACCAACTTACTTGTTAGGAAACAAGGGTTCTGGGGGCACCCAGGTGGCTCAGTGGGTTAAGCAGCTGCCTTCAGCTCACGTCATGATCCTAGGGTCCTGGGATCAAGCCCCAGGTCAGCGGGGAGCCTGCTTTTCCTTTTCCTGCTCCCCCTGCTTGTGCACTCTGTGAGCACTCTCTCTCCCCATCAAATAAAATCTTTTAAAAAAAGAGAGAAAAGAAACAAGGGTTCTACTTGCCCCTAGGCTGGATGGGATAAAAGACAAACTGGAAATACTGAAGTACAATAAATCAGGCTGCAGGTAACAGTCGTGGCATACATTTTGAAAAGCAAATGTTTAATATAGTAACTCCCCAGGACAGACCTTGGCAGAAAGTTACCTGGTTTTCTCACCACCCAAAGGACAGAGTCATCAGTTAAGTGGCCGCCTTCAGCTCAGGTCGTGGTCCCAGGGTCCTGGGATCAAGTCCCCACATGGGGTTCCTTGCTCAGCAGGGAGTGTCCTTCTCCCTCTGCCTGCTGCTCCCTCTATTTGTGGCTATCTGACAAATAAACAAAATCTTTAAAAAAAAAAAAAAAAAAGGCACCATAAGGGACACCTGGATGGCTCTCTCAGGCATCTACTTTCAGCTCAGGTCATGGTCCGGGGGGTTCTGGGATCAACCAGCATCAGGCTCCCCCCCACCCCAACCCCTGCTCAGCAAGCAGGGAGTCTTCTTCTCCCTCTCCCTCTGACCTTCCCCCCACTCATGCTCTTGAGCTCTCTCTCTCAAGTAAACTTTTAAAAAAATAAAACAACATGGGGAGCCTGGGTCACTCAGACATTAAGCATCTGCCTTAGGCTCAGGTCGTGATCCCAGGGTCCTGGGATCAAGCCGTGCATTGGGCTCCCTGCTCAGTAGGTTGCCTGCTTCTCCCTCTCCCACTCCTCCTGCCTGTGTTCCCTCTCTCACTGTCTCTCTCTCTCTCTGTCAAATAAATAAATAAAACCTTTTTTAAAAATAAATAAATAAACAGATAAAAATAAAAGGCACCACAAGACAAATCACACCTTGTAATTATAGTAATCAGACTCACTCACTCAACAGCCAGCATTCGATGGCACAGCATTACAATACTGTAGTGTGGTCCATGCTCATTACACAGAATTTTAAGCAGAATATTCCGGAATTTTATACAGAAATGAAACCCTTTAGTAATGGCAAAATAAGAGAGCATAAACAGTTACAAATATTGTATCTTCTCGTTATTATGTAATTTTAAGTGCCTACAAACATCTTTTATTTTTCCTGAATTGGCACTCATGCAAAACAGATCACTACCACCTCAACATCCCCAGTTGGTGACCAAGAGCCTCTCAAATGACAAGGATCTAGATGTACCAAGACTATTTAGTAACAAGAGGTAGGTGGCGAACGCATTTCAAGGCAAGACACTGATAGGACCAAGTACAAAGGTGCAGATCCCAGGTCCACAGTGTTTACAGGAGTATCAGTGGATTCCACCTTAGGTGGTTCTGAAGAGCAAATATATTCACTAAAACATAAGCTCAAGGTCAAGGATCTTTTCCCCCCATTTTATTCACTGATATACAGGAAACACCTAGCCAAGTTCCTGTTGGGCCTCAATAAATGTGTAGAATGAATAAAATAAGAATAGAAAAAAAAATCATCTTACATGCTACAGTGACATTAAATGGTATTAATTAATACCAGTTCATTGTTCAGATTCATTTAATTGTATCTATATAGAACTGAATGTTTTTTAAAAATACTTTCATGTTTATTCAGTGATCAATAACAAGATATTAACTTCCTAATGGATGTGTGAACTGTTGTTACAGTACAAGTAATAATGGGGAAACTTTACAGATGAGAGTACAATGGTACAGAGACAAAGGGGGCTACAAATAAAGTAAAATAAACAAAGCTGCCTGAGAGATCCCAACAGGGGAGGGAAAGATCCAGCACCTGAGCAGCAGGGCAGAACGACTAAGCACCAGAAGACTATCTTCTCACACAGCACTTAGCACAAACGTAACTTAGAATGCCTGGAGTTATTAATGTTTCTGTATGTTTCCACCACTAAATCACAAGCTCCGGGGGGCTCAGGTCTCATGTGTCTTGTTCACCACTGTGTTCCCAGCACCAGGCACATAGCTGTTCAATAAATATTTGTTAAATGGAAAAGAAGAAAGAGTCTGAGCTAATGATCTTGCAGGTAGAAACAGCCCTCATAAAAAAGAGGCTTAAGCTGTCAACATGGGACAAAATTTTGCCTTTACTACCAGATTTGCTCAAGAGGCAGATAAGAACATCCCACCAACGGAGGCTCTGAAATTCAGGATATCCTTTCTCCAAAAGATGGTGAGAAACTGTTCACATCACTTGGATAAGAGACATGAGGAGCTGTGCTCTCTGGAAACTCAAAATAAATCAGGCCTTTCCCTGGTTGTTTAACAACAAATGGAAAGAAAATGGGTCAAAGTACCTTTCTGCACCCCATCACTCTTCAGTCCCCACCTCAAAGCCCTTCAGTGAATAAGGACAAATGCATCTTCCAATGAGGTCTTCCTCCAGTTGCGGTCCTGAAAGATTCTGCACTTTCCAGGACCTTCTATTGGCAAAAAAAGGTGCATTTCAGCATGGCACACTTACTGCGCCAGGGTCTCCTGGCGATGCTGAGTCTTCTGGTGCCGATTAAGGATGGATCTCTGGTTGAAGCTCCTCCCGCAGGCAGGACAGTGGTAGGGCTTCTCCCCAGTGTGGATCCTCTGGTGTCTGACCAACCGTTCCCCTTTACTGAACCGCTTCCCACACACCTGGCACCCGTACGGCTTCTCGCCTGTGTGGGCTCGCCGGTGCACAGCCAGGTTTGCATTCCTGCTGAAGCTCTTGCCGCACTCACAGGTGTAGGGCTTTTCCCCCGTGTGAGTTCTCCGATGCACCTGCAGATGCTGTCTCCGGGTGAAGCTTTTCCAGCAGTCACCACACTTGTAGGGCTTCTCCCCCGTGTGACTCCTCTGGTGGACCTCGAGGTGGTGCCTCTGGCTGAAGGTTTTCCAGCACTCGCTGCACACGTAAGGTCTCTTTCCCAGATGTGTTCTCTGGTGCTTCATGAGGTACTCTCTCAAAGTGAACCCCTTCCCACATTCGACACACCCATAGGATTTCTCTTCTTCATGAGTTCGCTGGTGTCTGACAAGATTTGAGCTCCGACTGAACCCTTTTCCACACTCAGGGCACTGAAAAGGCTTCCAGAAGGAGCTGTGGGTCTTAAGGTCATCCGGCAGGGGTATGACGCCATGCTGAGGAGGCGGCGGCCCCGGCATGTTTCCCACAGAACTACTGGGCTCCTGCTCACAGGTTCTTCCAAGCTCAGGGCTCTGAAGAGTGGCATCCCCAAACCTCTCTGATGTCACCCGAGCAAGCGCCCCTTTGAGGTCTGACTGCTGGGTTTTAGCCTCCTTTTCCTTGCTCCCAATGCCTACAGGACAAAGGAGATACAGGCTGATTCTACAGGAACTATGAAGTACATTTATACGTTAGAATCTGGCTCCTAAGGGTGTCCCCCTCACAATTCCTTCTTTTTCCCTCTGACTGAAAACCTCAATACAGTTTCCTTTCATTGACTCTAAAACCAGACTTTGCTCTACTTTTCTCCATCTGTTTCTGACTGTTTGTGTCCCTAACCCCCCAAATTCATAGGTTGAAGCCCTGTACCCCAATGTGATGCTATCAGGAGACAGGGTGTTTGGGAAGTAATAAGGTACAGTCATGAGGGTGGAGCCCTCCACGGGATTAGTGTCCTTAAAAGCAAATGAAGAGAAACCAGAATGCTTTACACAGAGGTTATGTAAGCACGATTCCTCACGATGGGATTAGTGCCCTTGTGAAGAGGCAGAATCACAAGATGGATCCCTCAATTGTCCACCCTGTGAAGACAGTGAGGTGGCAGCTGGCTGCAAGCGAGGAAGAGGGCACTCTCCAGACACTTAATGTATAGGAACCTTGATCTTGAACTTCCAGAATGCTGAGAAATAAATGTCTGTTGTTTAAGCCACACAGTCTATAATATTCTACTATAGCAACCCAAGACAAGACAATCTCTGTACCTTTTTACAGAATACTCTGCCAAACTTTAACACCCACTCACTTAACTTTCCACTAACTCGGACTTTCATTTCCTTCTAAATCTAATTCAGTGATTTCCTTGAAGAAACATGCCCTGCTTGCTCTCTTCAGCTAATATATACTGATCAATATATATATATACTATATACTGATCAAGCATTTTGCTTATCCTACACTTATTTGTTTTTAAAGATTTTATTTATTTATTTGACAGACAGAGATCACAAGCAGGCAGAGAGGCAGGCAGAGAGGGAGAGAGGAGGAAGCAGGCTCGCCACTGAGCAGAGAGCCAGATGCGGGGCTCGATCCCGGGACCCCAAGATCATGACCTGAGCCGAAGGCAGAGGCCCCAACCCACTGAGCCATCCAGGTGCCCCTATCCTACACTTATTTATACACTATCTTACTGAAAATGCTATTTTACATCCATCAAGGTGTCCTGCCTTCCCTAGAGATTATAAACCTATTCCAGGGATGAGCTACTTGGAGTTCTACATATCCTCCCTACGCTTGCTCAGCAAGTAGTCCCTGCTCAAACTGCTCCCTCTGCTCCCAGATCTTACTAATCTAGGTCTCCTAGGAGCCTGGCACAGGCTTACCAGCTGCTGGATGAATGAATGAACCCACTCTGTCACTGACTTCTGCCAGACTGAAATGCCTGTGAATGCTACTGAAATGCCTCAACCCTTCTCAGTGTCCTTCCTCTGATCCCTCTCTAACTCTCTCTAAATTTAAACAGAACAAATATTTATAGAAGAGGAAGAAGATGGAAAAAAAAAAAAAAAAAAAAAAAAAAAGGAAGGCTCTAGGGAGCAAAGGAGCCAAGACAGGAAAAAAAAAAAAAAAAGACAATGGGCACCTGGCTGGCTCAGTCCATGGAGCGTGCGACTCTTAATCTCAGGGTTGTGAATTCAAGCCCCACGCCAGGTGTAGAGATTACTTAAAAGTAAAATTTTTAAAAAGAGAAAGAGGGGCGCCTGGGTGGCTCAGTGGGTTAAAGCCTCTGCCTTCAGCTCAGGTCATGATCTCAGGATCCTGGGATCGAGTCCCACATCGGGCTCTCTGCTCAGCAGGGAGCCTGCTTCCTCCTCTCTCTCTGCCTACTTGTGATCTCTGTCAAATAAATAAATAAAATCTTTAAAAAAAAAAAAAAAAGAAGAGAGGGACACCTGGGTGGCTCAGTTGGTTGGACGACTGCCTTCGGCTCAGGTCATGATCCCGGGGTCCCGGGATCGAGTCCCACATCGGGCTCCCAGCTCCATGGGGAGTCTGCCTCTCCCTCTGACCTTCTCCTCGCTCATGCTCTCTCTCACTGTCTCGCTCTCAAATAAATAAATAAAATCTTTAAAAAAAAAAAAAAGAGAGAGAGAGAGAGACAACAAGCAGAACTTAGGAATGGGAAGGGTCCTTTCAGGTGAGGCTGCTAAAACACAGAAAGAAAAATCTCGCATGCCTCTGGACCTAAACAAAGATGAAGGACACCAGTGTCACCTCAGATGGATTCTTTCATAAACTTTCCAGGGAATACAACTGCACAAAACATAACTGTAGAGTTCCAATTTTCATAATGAATATAACCATGTAAACAGCATCCAACTCAAGAAACATTACCAGCATCCAGAAAGCCCTCTCCCATACCCTCCAGTGACTATATTCTGCCCACCAGACAAACATGCTATCCGGACTTTGATCACCATAAAGTGGCTTTTGCCTGGTCTTGAACTTTATGCATTGGATCCACACATTGCTTCTAGCTGCTTCTGCTCATTATTATGCTTTTAGGATTCACCCACATGGTGGAACACAGCTATAATTACACTATTTTTTTTTTTTTTTTTTTTTTTTTGCTGTTGGTAGTATATGCTTTTACACTGTCAAGAATATACTGAAATCTCTTTATTAACTTGGCTGATGTTCATGTGGGTAGTTTCCAGTTTTGAGACGTTATGAATAATAAAACTGAAACTAAATGCAAAGCACGAGCTTTACCTGGACCCTGAGGAGATGCGAGTATGTGCCAGGTATTACCTAGCATGGAATTCTGATTTCTCAGGCCCAATCCTACATGGCTGTCAATGAATGGGACTAAATCCCAGGACGATCTGAAGGTGGAGACAGCTGGTAGATAGTATGGGTGGTAAATGGACCTTGGCCCACCCAGACTCAGCATAAACACTTAAGGAAGTGCTTCGGTTGTTTGAAACAATGGGAAGAGGACAAGCATACAGCCAGACTCTCTAAAACAATCAGAATGGCCAAGGACACATAAAAACCCTCTGGGAACAGGAGGAGAACAGAATACTTCCAGCACATGGCAAGATCACTGGTAGAATTTCATCCCAAGGGGGATCAAGGTGCTGAAATACTAGTACCACCATCTGGGCCACTGCACGAGCTCCTGCACTGCACAGGTATGTCTGGGGGTTTCCACATCCTCTACTGTTACAGAAGTCTTACATCTCTTTGTAACATATGCTGGTAGCCTTTGGCCACTCACATCACTACCATGGCATGACAACCCTGTCCTGGACCCAAGTTTCCTAAGTCCTTCCTCTAGTGTCCCTTACGATACTCCATAATGACCATTATTATATACACCTGGGCTCTTCACCTGACCTGCTAAGATCACAGAGGCAAGCACCTTTAAGGCAGAATGTTGACCACATAAAATGCCAAATAAACATTTCTGAGCCAATAAATAAATGCTGACTCATAAAAAAATTTGCACAACTAATAAAAATATCTGACACTACTATATTCACCAAGTATTAATCCTCACAACACCGTGAGATTTCTATAAACATTCCCATTTTGTGACTGAAAACCAGAGGCCTGAAAAGGTCACCTGTGATGCCCCAGGTCACAATCAGTAAGTGATGGAGCCAGGATGGGTTTACATGTGCTAAAGAAAAAGAGTGATACTCTGCTCGCTCTGTGACACAGGCCCACATGGACCTCTCTGGTTTCTAACATCCTTCTGTCCAAGCTCCTGCCATCCTCTGTACACACATCTCGTGCTCCAAAGGCTTCCATGCCGTTAGTCCAGCCCCAAAACAAAGCTGCTAAGGTGGGGCCAACACCCAGGGGGGCACTCAATAAATCTCTGCCAAGTAAACAAGATCAGAGGATCATCTTTTGCTCCTCTTCTGCTCTCGAGCCTGGGTACTCTTCAGTCACACAGTAGGTGCTCCAGGAGTCCTAATAAGCAGCCACTCTCATCACAGCCAGAATAACTACCTTATGATTTCTTGCCCCCTGACTGTTCCTGTCCTGACAGGAAAACACGTGGCCAGCTCCTTAAACCTGGATCCACTCTCTTTCCTTGGACCCATTTACTCATCTTCTGTCAGTAGTACCAGGTTCTAAAATCCAGGGCAAGGGTAAGTACCCTGACCTGTAGCTTTCAAAATTCCTCAGTTTCTTACCTTTGGAACGGAAACAGCCTTACCTGGAGCTGAGACCCCACAGTCTCGGGGTTCCACATATTCCCCAAAGCAGTCTATCTGGGCTGGGGTCACATGCCTCCATTCCTCCTCGGGGAAAGCCAAGGCCATATCTTTAAATGTCCCCAACCCCTGAAACAACAGAAGACTGCTATGGATAGAGAAATAATTCCAAGGTAGGAAGAGTCTAAAAGCAGGAGAGAACATAGGGGACAACACTCTAGGGAAGAATGGAGCAAGAAGACCAAAGGAACTGGGTCACTAGTGCTCTCGGGAGCAAAAAGGCCTACCTCTCAAGAGTTTAATGACAGGAAAGTAATGGACTCATCTGAGCCACTGTATTTCTAAGTCTCTGCTGCAGCCACTAAGCTTATACCCTCACAACCACAGAACCCAATTTCCATTTTTCAAATGCTTCAGAGCTGCTATTTATCCCCTCATCTAAAGCCTAGTGGTTTCTATCCATAAGGTCTTCCTCCTCACGATTAAAAGAGTAATCCTGAGTCAATCGGGGGAAAAAAAAAAGTCACAGAGCCGTAAAAGCAAGTGTATTAAGCCTTATGCCTGGACCCTAAGGCATAAGGCTCACCTCAACTTAACTGAGAATGATAAAGTGGAGAAAACAAACCTGTCACAACCATCAGAACAAGAAAGGTGAAATAATTCAACTTGTGGATAGCACTTTGTTGTGCAGAGAAACCTTAAGGAAAGTGAACCTCATTCAAAACAACGTCATGGTACCCAAGGGGAGAGGTACAGCTCACCTGGGATCCAGCGGTAAGGAACCCAGCTGCCATCTCTTGGTCTCTGGTGTTCACTGAAGGGAGGCCAGGACCAGCCTGAAGAACTGGCAGAGCTAAGCAAAGGGTAAAAAGCATAAGAAAGATTAGCACTGTCTTGAAGTTAACTTGTTCAAAGGTGTCCACTGCCTGACACACACAATCCTAGGAACCTTAAAGCTGGGGTGCGGGTACAGCCTATCCCGCTCTCCACTGGGAAGATAATCCCAACCCAATATGCCCTGCCCCTGAAGGCCAGCCAAGCTCCCTGGTCACACTCTGGCAATAAGCCCCTTTGAGATTCACTAACACAATGAAGTCTTAAATTACTTTCAGGGATATGGTCTATCTGCCCACTTAAAAAATAACCCTACATGTCACCCGCATATTTCTAGGAGGTTTCTAGAAAGGGATGTGAGGGAAAAGAGAAGAAAAGAAATGGTAAGAGAACACAATCCCAGGTACCCCGTGCAGAAATCAGAGAATCAAGATACAGAAAACAATTTCACTTCATCTGTTCCCTACTAAAGTCAAGGAAGTAACCAGGAAAAATCAGAATTACACCCCACAGGTCACTTCATTTAACAACTGCTGGGCTTAAAAAGGATAGGATCACAAAGCACGGTTTTCTATGTCCTTAGTTTACTGTTTGCATCTTACCCTGCTCCTGGAAGGCTTGTGTCCCAGCTCCAGGGTCCTGACTGAGTTGCTCCTCAGTGCCTTGGTCTAGGCCTTGAACTCCTTCCCCATGGGGCATCCCCCACTCGGGCTTGATCTCCACCGGCCCCAGGTGCACACCTGGTTCCCAAGGGCCTCTGCCAAGTGCTGTCTCCTGCTGCTCTCCCTGCACATGGCATGGAACCTAAGGACAGTCCCCAACACCTATTAGAATGAGGCCTGGGGGAGGAATCTGAATTAAAACCTAAAAAGATGGGGTTATGGACATTGGGGAGGGTATGTGCTATGGTGAGTGCTGTGAAGTGTGTAAACCTGGCAATTCACAGACCTGTACCCCTGGGGATAAAAATATATTATATGTTTATAAAAAAATAAAACTTAAATAAATAAATAAATAAATAAATAAAACCTAAAAAGAAAACCAAGAAAAGAACCATTCCAGCTGCAAGGGAGGGGAAGAAAAAGCTGGCTAGGTTCTTTCACAGGATGTCGGTAAGAAGGCTATGAGCAACTGTTATATGTCCATGCCATTCTGCAAGGGTCCCTCTGGCCTGACAGAATTCCCCCATGCATAATGTCAGAGAGGCTAAATATTGTTTGGTTGAGAACTTTAGCCCAAAACACTCCCTACTAGGAAAAAAAAATCCCCCAATTACAAATGCTAAAAGTAAAAAATACAAGCCCTGATTCCATAGTGAATTACCTAGTGAGAAAAACTAGCTCTAAAAATAGCAAGAAAAATCAGGACAACTCATATTGAGATACACTCACAAAAACAGGCCCCTTTGGGTCTACTTTTAAGCTTCTGGGCTGGGAGTAAAAAAATAATTCTTAGGATTATGGAGGAAGTCTGGGGTAACTACAGCAGGAAAGGAAAGATGAAATTAAGAAAGACAGTTACTTGCAAGCAAAACAGTAATGTTAAGTCCTGCTCTCTTCATTCCCAGACAATAATCAGGTGATTATACCAAAGAGTCACAGACAACGGCCAAAGTCCCAAGGGTTAGATGCAGTTGCCTCGTGTCACCAGAACACCATCATAGAATCGCTGATGTGAGCCACTTAAGTTGATATCCCAGATGTGGAAAATGCAATGTGCAGACCATGCTTCTTAGTAAGAATATTCACCCAACTGGAATTCTCTGCATTCTCACATGCATCCTGCCCAAAGAGGAATGAGTCGAGGAACCTTAAAAGTAAGGTTCTTTAGGCCTGAGGCTCACAAGGGAAATATAGCCAGGCCGCTCTCCTGATGACCAAAAAAGGAAGCTAACAGCCCTTCTACAAGCCCTGCACCTTCCCTGAGAATGGATTTTCTTGCTGAAAACTCCACTGCCCTCCAGAAAGTACTTCAGGGAGTCTGGGAGCAGAGGAAGGAGACTGTATACCTCATCGACTCCCACTGCTTCCTCAAACCTTTCAATTCTTTAAATCTCCCCTTCCCACACCAATGAAACAAGACCCAGATTCCCCCTTCTCACCCACCGCCTTGGCCTCCAATGTTCTCTCTGTGAAGTCTTCCACCATGGCCACAAGAGCCTTGCCATTCTCCAGGCCATGCTCCCGAATCCAGGCATAGAACTCCCGAGGCAGGATGGTCAGGAACTGCTCCAGCACCAGCAGCTCCAAGATCTGCTCCTTGGTGTGCAGCTCAGGCCTCAACCACTGGCGACAGAGTTCCTGGAGTTCCCTGAGGGCTTCCTGGGGACCAGCTGCCTCCTGGTAGCGGAACTGCCGAAACCTCAGACGAAAAGTCTCCGGACTAGGGTCCTCCCTTCCCCTGCCCCATGGCAACTCTTTCTCCAGCTTTACCACAGGAACACCCATCGGCTGCTGAGGGTCTTCTGCCATCCCTGGACGCTCCTTAAGCATCTTCACAGCCTCCCAGAAGACTGAGTGTGTGCTGGGAAGGCCAAACAAACAATAATGGAAGCATAAATGAGAAAAAGGAAAAGTCAGTCCATCCCAGTTCTGTGCCTACCATCAATGGCTCTTCTGCTGGAGAACATGACAATTACTTTCAAAAAACTGAACATATATCCTGAAAATTACATCAATTCAATTCAGTAAGTATATGCTAACTACCTAGTATGTGCAGAAAAATGTAGAGACTTGACTTTATGCCCACAAACACTGCAGGATCTCATTAGGGAAATAACACTAAAATCAGAGAATATAAAATAGGTTATAATTAGATCAGTCACACAGACCTACTCTTCCAAAGGTGTAATACATTTTCAGTAAATGTATATGCCAAACCTGCAAAAACTAGATATATAATACAGATGGGGTGCCTGGGTGGCTCAGTCAGTTGAGCATCTGCCTCCGGTTCCAGTCATGATCTTGGAGTCCTGGGATCAAGCCCTATATAAGGCTCTCTGCTCAGCAGGGAGTCTGCTTCTCCATCTCCCTCTGTGTTCTCTCTCCCTCTCTCTATAAATAAATAAAATCTTAAAAAAATATATATATATATATATAAAATATAGAACAAGACAAACACGGCACTTACCCTTTGATACTCTTATACTAGCACAGCAGAGAGAAAAAATATATACACGCAAATAAATTAAAATTATAAATGGAGATAAGTTCTCGAAAGGAAATATGTACGGTGCTCTGTTAATGGAGGATGAACAACTTGAAGAACAATTTTCTGAAAATATGACATGTAGGCTGAGACCCAAAGGATGAGAATGAATCAGTCATTCAGATTTTTCCAGGCATAAGGACTGAGACCAGAAATTACTCTGTATTATCTGAGAACAAGCCAAAGTGCAGTATGGCTTCTGCAGAGTTAAGTGAGTGACAGCGCTGCACGAGAAGAGGCGGCAGAGGCAGGCAGAACCAGATTATCCAGGAATTGGGACACACTAAAAATTATGAGTTAATCTTACTTTAGCAGGGAGCCACATGTTTTATAAAGGTCATTTTGCAAGGCACCTGGGTGGCTCAGTCGATTAAGTGGCTACCTTGGGCTCAGGTCTGATCTCAGGGTCCTGGGATCAAGTCCCATGTCAGGCTCCCTGATCAGTAGAGCGCATATTTCTCCCTCTCCCTCTGCCTGCCACTCTGCCTACTTGTGCTCTCTCTCTGTGAGTCAAATAAATAAATAAAATCTTTAAAAAGAAAAAAAAAAAAAAAGAAAGGTTATTTTGCCTGTGGTATGTCAATGGACTATAGTTTAGAGGGGACAAGAAGGGAAGCAGCACTTACAGTGGTCCAAGCAGGAGAGGCTCAAGATGGCGACAAAGCAGTCAGTCAAGACATATTCTGGAGGTAAAACCAACAGACTTGCTAGTGGCTTGGATGTGACCGTGTGCTCAGCCTAAAGAAAACAACAGAGTGACACATATATATCATTGTAATTGATCAAAAGATTTTTAACTTCTGGGACGCCTCAGTGGCTCAGTCAGTTAAGGGCAGACTCTTGATTTCCCTCAGGTCATGATCTCAGGGTCCTGGGATCCAGCACTGCTTTGTGTTCTCGCTCAGCACATGGTCTGCTTCAGGATTCTCTCCCTCTCCCTCTGCCCCTCCACCCCCTGCTTTCTCTCTCTCAAATTAAAAAAAAAAAAAAAAAAAATTAAGATTTTTAACTCCTGTAGGCTCTACCAGGTAGAAAGCCTGTGAGCACATACTCTCATTCAATACCATTTAATAACCATTCTGTATAAGGAGTATCACTCCCCCTACTTTTCAAATGAAGAAACTGGAGCTCTAAGAGGTTAGATGGCCACCGTCTGCCTCCCAAAAGATAGGGTGCAGATAAACCACAGGGGGAGCCAAAATGAGAGAAAGGTTAATGTTGGTTCAAGTACTCACGAAAAAAGAAGGGGCTTACACTAGACTGGGTGAGTACTATTCAATTTCACGATGGGTTCAGGTTGGGGGTGCACGGTACCCAGGCTGGGGAGTCTGACCTGGGAGTCGAAAGTGGGGAAGGAGCTGGGTTTTTAGAGAAGGGAAAGATCACTCTTAACCCACAGAGAATAATCAAACTGGCAGGAGGTACTTCCGAAACTTCTTAATATCCTATTGGGTGCTCTGCACTTATACACCCTTAAGCCCATTTTTCATTTTCAGTCCATTCATTTTTCTCTGCTGCACCAAGAGAGATTTCTCTAGCGACTTCCCAGCTACCTCATGTACTCACTCCCATTCACACTCCCCTGTTGAATTTAGGGCGCTACAGCGTGTCTCCGACTACCACACTCCCTGAAGGCGCGCAAGGTCCTTATTCATTCTTCATCCCTGGCCCTTCACGAAGAGAAGGCTTGAAGGAGAAGCCATTCTTTACGAGAGAGTCCCGCGTCTTATCTAAAATGGCTACTTTCAATTTTCAGAGAGGGCCGCGCTGGTTCCAGGTCTCGAGTTCGCGGACGCCCCGAGCGCTGAGGTAACCCTGGCCAGGCGGGCCCAAGTCCGCTCCCACCTGAGCCCCTGCGTCCCGCCCCACCAAGGCCTCCGTGCCGCGGGAGGTTTCTCCGGGGAGACGCGCCGCCCGCTGCCTCAGCCCCGCCGCCGCCACCGCAGGGGCCCCGAAACGCTGCCCCGCGGCCGCCTCAGCCCGCAACGGCCCCGAAACCCTGCCCCGCCGCCGCTGCCGCCTTTGCCCGCCGCCCCGCGTCGCCCCAACCCAACACTCACCCGCAGCCCCTCAGCAACGCCCGCCAGGCCCGAGCGCTCAGAGGACCGGATGTGGGCCGCGAACGCTGTCAGACAGGTGCGTGAGGAAAGAGCCCCCCTTCCGCTTCCTCTCTAGGACTCCCGGAGGTCGGGGAGTCTCTATGGTCGCCGGTGGACTGGGTCTGTTCCGGCCGACTGAGCGTCTCTCCCCAGGCTAACTCGTGCCCTAGAGGCTCGAGGTCCTCACGGTCGTCAGGTCTTTTGGCGCCTCCGCGCCTTGGCATCTGCTTTCCCTTCGTGAGAAGGTCCCTCCAGACACACTACTGGACGTGAAGCCTCTTTCAGCGGGCTTAATAGGCCAACACGTGCTTATTCCGCGCTTCTTGTACTTTGCTCGAGGCGCAGGGGCCGAGGGTGACGGAGGGAAGCACCGAATTCTATAGGTTCGCATAAGAGGGGCCTCCCCCCCGAGTAGTTGGGAGGAGGGAGTCAGGGAAGACTTCCTGGAGGAGGGGAACCTCAGCTCAGATTTGAAGGGTGAGTTTTTAAAAAGTGAGGTGAGTGTCCCCAGTGAGTGGGGAGGGGTTGACGGCATTCCCACACCACCCAGGCCACTGGAGCATACGGTTAAACTTAGTATTTCAGCTGGTGAGCTAAAGGCAATGGGGAGCCATGGAAAGGTTTCAAGGCGGGAAGGGACACATTTTGAAAAGATGCTGCTGAGAACCCTTCAAGAAAGACCGAGCAAGAGGGGAGGGAGGTGGAGAAACAAGATGGCTGACTGTTGCGTAAAAAGAAGCTTAAGAAGCAGTCTAGGAGAGAGAGGATGGACAGACCTGGGACAGTCCCTGAGACCAGAAATTGCCAAGAAGGATTCAACAGGAAACTTACTGGGGAAGTAACATTGCCACGGTTTGAGGATTGATTGGATCTGGAGGATGAGAGAGAAGGTGAAATAATTTGGTAAATGACCAAAGTCACATATATCGATAAGAATGAACATTTTAAAAGCAAACAACTTGTTGGTTATCTGGAAAGAGATAATGTTGGGTCCATACATTTATGACGCATTCGGGACCAAGTCCACTGGGCTCAGAGGATCACAGATTTTTTTATATTACAAATTATGTAATCAATCCACCTTGGGAATAGTGTTGGATAGCCTCCATCCGCTAACATGCACTCACATCTGAGAGTTATTAGACAACCTTGACATCCAGGGCCAAATGAAACTGCCTGATTGGCTCAGTCTATCTGGGAACACTGAGCTACTCCTAGTGATATCAAAAACCTTCCATCAGCTTGCCATGGAAAAGAGACAGAGAAGAGAGCATTCTGGCAGAGGCAGGAGGAGATTGGATCGGATCACAGGTTTCCAGGGCAGCTTTGGAGAGGAATTGGGAAGAAAAGATTCAAAAAGATTGAAAGAGTGATGGTCTAGGTTAGGGCTCAGCAAACTTTCTCCATGAAAGGCCGGAAATAACTATCCTAAGTTTTGCTGGATGCATTTTCATATATTCTTCATTATTGCAATCCTGAAAAAATGTCAAAGCCATGTTTAGCTCACACCCAGCACTTGATTTGACACAAGGACTGTAGCTGGCTGACCCCTGAAGTAGATGGTTTTAAAATCATTCTACAGAGGTGTTTGAGGAGTTCATTCTTGGCCTCTTTCCCCAGTGATATTACCTGCTGAGAACGCACAGGACAATGATAGGCTTAAATAATGAGTAAAAAACTGAAATATCTATTGTGATATTGAAATAATGTAAGAAAAAGCTGTAGGGGCACCTGGGTGGCTCAGTTGGTTAAGCATTTGCCTTCCGCTCTGGGTCTTGGGATCAAGCCCCACACCAGGCTCCCTGCTCAGTAGGGAGCCTGCTTCTTCCTCTCCCTCACCCTCTCCCCCTGCTTGTGCTCTCTTTCTCTGCCCTCCCCCCGTTTGTCCTCTCTCCTCCTCTCTCTCTCTCTCTCTCAAATAAATAAAATCTTTTAGAAAAAAGAAAAAAATTGTAAGGTGAATGGAAAGATTGTCAAGCAACACTGAACACCCAAGTGAGATTGAAACCAAACAAGTGATAGAATCAAGCCACACAATTGCTTATGCAATCTGGGGCAAATCTGCTTAAAATAAACCTGTGGATTGATCTAATGTTGGGATTTGACATAGAGAATCCCAGAGTGGAGGGAATGAGGACTCTGGTAGGAAAAGTTTATGTTGAGTGACCAGGAGTCTAAGCTGAGCAAAGCGGAGGGATGGAAACCAACAAGAATGGAAGAGCTGAGGAATCAGAGGTTGGGATGAGGCTGTGAAGCAGGTTCCAGAAATGTTATAGGCAAACTAAGCATAAAGTGCATATCCTGTTTGTTTCCCATAAACAGAATCATGCTATATTCTGTTCTGCACTTTGCTTTTATTCACTAAACAGCATCTCTTTCCGTGTCTACACATATCGATCTACCCCACTCTCTTTAACCAGCCGCATAGTGTTCCAGTGCATGGATTTGCCATGACTTATGGAGACTCTTGGTAGACTTTTAGGATGTTTCCACCATTAAGATTTACCAGAAATCTAGAATGAACATTGTTAAACATTCTTGCAAGTTTTATCCAAGAATAAATTCCATACATAGAATTGCTGGTCTATGCATTTGGAACTATATGCATTTGGAATTTTGTCAGCTACTGCCAAATTTTCCTGCAAGGAGTCTACGCCAACTTCCATTCCCACTGACAATGGGCGATTAACATTCATTTCCCCACAATCTCATCAACACTGGATGTTATCAAACTTTTCCATCTTTGCCAATCTTATGAGGGAAATAAATGATGCCACAATTTTTACCTCCATTTCTTAATTATAAGGAAAGTCAATCATTATTCCTGCCCACATCATTTACTTGTATTTCTTTTTCTGTGGACTAGCTATGTTTATCCTTCCCTCTGTTTCTGTTAGGTTATTTACCTCTTTCTTATTGATATATGTGTTTTTTGGACATTAAGACAATTGGCCCTTTTCCAAATGTCTTGCAAGTATTTTTCTATTTGTCTTTTTTTAAGACTTATTTACTTATTTGAGAGAGAGAGAGAGAGAAAGAGAGAGAAATAAAACAGGGGGAAGGGCAAAGGGAGAGGTACAGAGAAAATCCTCAAGCAGACTCCACACTGAGCACAGAGCCCAACTTGGGACTCAGTCCCAGGACCCTGAGATCGTGACCTGACCTGAAACCAAGAGCCAGACGCTTAACCAGCGTCTATCCAGGTGCCCTCCCGCCATTTGTCTTTCTTCTTTTTTTAAGATTTTATTTATTTATTTGACAGATGGAGATCACAAGTAGGCAGAGAAGCAGGCAGAGGGAGAGGAGGAAGCAGGCTCCCTGCTGAGCAGAGAGCCCGATGTGGGGCTTGATCCCAGAACCCTGGGATCATGACCTGAGCCGAAGGCAGAGGCTTAACACACTGAGCCACCCAGACACCCCGCCATTTGTCTTTCTTAATGAACTTCATGCATGACCAAAGATTGTATGTTTTACGTATTCAAATTCATTCATCCTTTTTTATTTTTTTAAGAGTTTATTTATTTATTTAAGAGAGAGTGTGTGCACGCACACACGCACAAGCCCGGGATGGGGCAGGGGGAGCTTGGAGGGGAAAGGGCAGAGGTAGAAGGAGAAGCAGACTCCACCTGAGCAGGGAGCCCAAGGCGGGCTCAAACCCAGGATCTGAGATCATGACCTGAGTGGAAGATAAATGGTTGAGCGACTGAGCCACTCAGGTGCCCTTCATTTATTCTTTATTTTAAATCTCCGTGCCTTCCAAGGGCACCTGAGTGGCTCAGTCTATTAAGTGTCTGCCCCTGGCTCAGAGACTGATCCTGGGGTCCTGGGATCAAACCCTGTGTCAGGCTTCCTGATCAGTGGGGAATCTGCTTCTCCCCACTGCTCGTGCTCTATCTCATTCTCTCTCTCTCACTCCCTCAAATAAATAAAATCTTTAAAAAAATATATATGCCTTCCATATTCCCAATGACTAGCAAGTTTCCCTCAACACCATTTGTTGAAGGCTTTATTTTTCCCTGTATAAAGTTGCCTCTATGTTTGGACTCTTATTCTTTAATCTAGCTCCTATGTCCAGACCTGCCAAATTATTTAATAACCACAGTTATATATTTATCTTTTATATTTGGAAGAGCTTTTCTACATCACTGGCCCTTTTTTCCCATGATGTGAAGAGAAGATTTTTGAAGAAAAATTAAGAACAGCAGTCTGAAAACTGCAAAGGAAACCAGACAAATTCCAATCTCGTGCTTCTGGCCCTGAGAGGTCAGACTATAACCAAAGGATTGTTAGGGAAATGGCAATGTCAAAAAGGAAAGAGGTTTCAGGGATGCCGAGCAAATGAGGGCATTTTTTTCCTAGCAAGGAACATGATACTGAATGAGTTGAGAGCATTATGAGGCCCTGAGAGAAAAGAACGGGTAAAGGGAGGAAGGAAGGGAGAAAGAGACAGAGGGGCAGAGGGAGAGGGGTAGAAAATTATCTGACAAAAGACATCACCTCTGTGGTTCTTTAATTTAAAAAATGGGTAGAATTATTTATACCTGGCCTATCTTTGCCGGGACAAAGTAAAATGACAGATGTGAGAGTTGTTTTAGCATTAACAATGGAAGTGTAGGTTATAGGGGTGCCTGGGTGGCTCAGTCAGTTGAGCAACTGACTCTTGATTTCAGCTCAGGTCCTGATCTCACGGTCCTAAGATCAGGACCTGAGTCAGGCTCAGTGGGGAGTCTGCTTTAGATTCTCTTTCTCGGGGCACCTGGGTGGCTCAGTGGGTTAAAGCCTCTGCCTTCGGCTCGAGTCATGGTCCCAGGGTCCTGGGATCGGGCCCCGCATGGGGCTCTCTGTTCGGCGGGGAGCCTCCTTTCCTTCCTCTCTCTCTGCCTGCCTCTCTGCCTACTTGTGATCTCTGTCTGTCAAATAAATAAATGAATAAATAAATAAATAAATAAATTTCTCTTTCTCACTCTGATCTTTATGCCCCACAACTTCAAGTAAGTAAATCTTTAAAAAAAATATATGAAGGTTATAAGTTCAGAGTGCTGGTATGGACAGTTTGGGATTTTTTTTTTTATATTACCCTTACTTATTTAGCTTTTACAATTCAATAGGAGTTTTTGAATAAAACACATGTTTTGTGAGTCAAAATCATATAAAAAGTTATCCGCAGAGAATTACTGCTCCTATCTCTGCCTGCTCCTTCCAGCCCATTCCCTAATCTATCTCCATCTCCAAAGATTTATTAGTTTATCATATAGACTTCAAGCATTTATTTGCAAATACTAATATTTGTATATTTTCCTTATCTTCTCCCCATTTCTTGCATAAAAGGAACTACACCAGATACCTTGTTTTTTATCATGTAATATGTCCTAGAAAATTTTCCATGTCGGTACATAAACATCTTTCTCACTTTTTTTTCCCTTAAGCTAGTGTGGATATAACGTAATTTAACATGTCCCCCATTAATGGACATGTGAGTTGCTCATTTGATGTGTCAAATGCACCCCTTAATATCCCTATACCTATGTCAGTTTTAAACATGTGTGTAGGTATATCTGTCAGATAAATCATTAAATTGAGAATGTTAAAGCAGAATTGCTTCTGTAGTTTCGCACCCATTGTAAGAGTCCCCTCAGCAGGGGTTATGTCATTATGCACTTCCATCTACAACACTTGACTTCCTGCCACTCCACAGCTTAGCCAACACAACATTCCATCAAAATTTTGAGTTTTGGTGGGGGCCTGGGTGGCTCAGTAGGTTAAAGCCTCTGCCTCCCGCTCAGGTCATGATCTCAGGGTCCTGGGATCGAGCCCCACATCGGGCTCCCTGCTCAGCAGGGAGCCTGCTTCCTCATCTCTCTCTCTCTCTCTGCCTGCCTCTCTGCCTACCTGTGATCTCTGTCAAATAAATAAATAATCTTATAAAAAAATTTTTGAGTTTTGGGGTGCCTGGGTGGCTCATCGGTTAAGCACCTGCCTTAGATCCCAGGACCTTGGGACAGAGCCCAACTCTGGCTCTGTGCTCAGTGGGGAGCCTGCTTCTCCCTCTCCTTCTGCCACTACCCCCGTTTGTGCTCTCTCTCTCTCTCAAATAAATCAATAAAATCTTAAAAAAAAAAAAAAGACAAAACACTCAGGAAACACAGACTAGTTCAAAAAACTTTTAATAAACTGCAAATATAAGCAAGACGGAATAGCTGTGAGTACAGGGAAGGGAAGCACTGATCTGAGTCACGAAGCTCCTCAGAAGCAGTGGAGACCGGCTCCCCTTAGGTCTCGCAGGCTCATACAGCTGAGGATGCCTGGAGGACGCTCTCCTGGACTAGATAACCGTTTCTTCTTTCAGCAGCGTCTCCTTTTGTATGGAGCTTAGGTCTCCTCCCAAACTCTCCAGATTCTCCAGGTGGGGGACGCCCTGGCTCTCCTCGATACTCCGGGAATTGGGCAACCAATGGCAGCTAAGGCAGGCTGTTTCTTGGAAGAGGCAGATGGCACCTGGGTAACAGCGAAAGTTTGGGTCAGGTTAGGGAGTGACGTCAGGAATGCCCTCCTCGAATGTGACCCCCTCTGGCCTGCATCCGACCTCCCTAGTTCTCCCCTCCAACAGAGAGTATTACAGAGACAGACGGAAAACAGAATGCATCACAAGACAAGGCAGACGAACAGATGGATAAACTCACAGAACTAGAGCCAGTGCTGTAGGGCGTCTTAGCAACAGGCTATTAATAGGTAAGAAAACAAGGTTTAGGAGAGGAAGGTCAGACACAAAACCCAGGCCTCTGGATGCCCCGCTCAAGACTCCCAGCAAGGCAGAAAGGAGAAAGAAAACTGTGTCATAAATGGAGATAGCTTGAGCAAATAATAAATGCTGTGTTACGGTTAAGGCTAAGGGAAAGGACAACTTCTGTGTTCTGTGTGATAGCAGACTACATACTCTCCCACTGAAAAAAAACCAAAAACTCGATTGAAGGTGTTTCTTCAGAAACCTATTGGTAAATACAGCATCAAACTGGCATCAGGGTAAGGCATTCTTAGGAACAAAACTCTAGTGAAAACAGAAACCTAGAGAGTTTAAGCAAGCATACAATCAGCCTTCACTGTAGGAACATACACTCAACCCAGGTGACCCTGAGTTTCCATTCTTTTGGACATTTGGGACACAATGTGAGAGAAAAAGCCCAGGGCCTGCTCAAGATGACCAATCTAACAAGGGTCTGCCATATGGAGCTAGAACTTCAAAGTTACCTGTATTGAATGAGAATTCATAAACAGAGGCTAGCTGTTCTGTGGGTCTGCAACCAAATTCACAATACCTGTTGTGATCCTAGTTGTACATCCGAGCATCAAACAGGAGCAAATGCAAATCCCTTTTTGAAAAGAACACTTTAAATACAGGTCTCAACGAGTTTCTACCCGGAAAAAAAAAAAAAAAAAACTTACAAGGAAAATGAATTCACAAACATACCAAGAAACAAGGCACCAGAAACAAGAGCCAGTAGAAATAGCAGCAGACGAACACAGACCTGCATGTCATTCAGTTGTTAAACTTAAAAGACATAGAATTGGGGCGCCTGGGTGGCTCAGTGGGTTAAAGCCTCTGCCTTCGGCTAAGGTCATGATCCCAGGATCCTGGGATCGAGCCCCACATCTGACTCCCTGCTCACTTCTCCCTCTCCCACGCCCCCCTGCTTGTATTCCCTCTTTCACTGTCTTTGTCTCTGCCAAATAATAAAATGTTTTTTAAAAAAGACAAAGATGATAAAACTAGATGAAAAAGATACAATCATAAACTATATGATTACATATAAGTAAAAGATTAGAAAGATCTATAACAGGCAAATACTAGAGTACTATTACTAGCTAGAGTAATAGCAGATAAAACAGACTTTCACAAAAGGGATTACTAGAAATAAAAAAGATCACAGCATGCATAATGATTAAAAGTTCAATTCACCGGTAAAACAGAACAACTCTTTTTTTTGCCTTTAAAATCATTTTATACACAATTTTCCCAACTTGTTCTCCCCCTCAGTTAACAGAGCATGAAGGGCCCTCCACATCAACACATAAAGATTTACTATACTTTTTAACAGCTACATAGTACTTCATTACATGAACGTAACATAAGTTTATCTATTTCTCTTCCTTAGATAATGCTGCAGAGAACATTCCTGTATTTTCCCATACTTGCGCTAGTATTTCCATTTCGTTGTGTTTTGAAAGGCTTATTCTATAGTTATAGTTCCTGGACTTTCTTTCTTTGTGTTGAACTGAAATCTGTGTACCTGTGAATTTCTCTGCTGCCGCCCCTCCCTTGATGTGGTTTTTCCACTTCCCTGTGAGCATGAGTCTAGGCTTATAAAAATTTGTGAATAGTTTCACTATACATGTATTTGTCTCTTTTACTGGTAAACTTGAACTCACATGTTTTCACGTGCATTAGCCTTGAAACAAGTATGATACAATTAAAACGTGAGTTAAGGGGCTCCTGGGTGGCTCAGTGGGTTAAAGCCTCCGCCTTCGGCTCAGGTAATGATCCCAGGGTTCTAGGATCAAGCCCCGCATCGGGCTCTCTGCTCAGCGGGGAGCCTGCCTCCCCCTCTCTCTGCCTGCCTCTCTGCCTACTTGTGATCTCTCTCTGTCAAATAAATAAATAAAATCTTTTAAAAAAAATAAAATAAAATGTGAGTTAACTTTATTAATAACTGGATTTCTGGAAAGGTATGCTTTTGTAGCAGACCATATTGTTGTGGACCTTTCCATATGGCTTTGATTCTGTTTCTTGGCCTGAGAGATGCCAGCCACATCTGTGCGTTGTGTGGTCAAGCGAGGTCAATTGTTAGGCTGTCATTAAGCCACTTATAAAGACAGTTTAGAGGAGTTTTACAGGGAAAAAAATCAAAAGAAAAGTTTCCATCTATGTGTAAGGTCTGCCCCTCTGAAGCTGGCATCTGAATTGTCAGGGATGGTTCTTACCACATTAAGTTGGAAGCAATGAGAAACGAAAACAGGGCGTCTTGGGGCGCCTGGGTGGCTCAGTGGGTTAAAGCCTCTGCCTTCAGCTCAGGTCCTGATCCCAGGGTCCTGGGATCAACCCCTGAATCGGGCTCTCTGCTTAGCAGGGAGCCTGCTTCCCCCTCTCTCTCTGCCTGCCTCCCTGCCTACTTGTGACCTCTGTCTGTCAAATAAATAAATAAATAAAAATCTAAAAAAAAACAAAAAAAAACACAAACCCAGGGCATCTACATGAATGAGATTGAGAACTGTCTATAGGAGGTAGGCTCTATTGTACTTTTTTTTTTCAGCCTTTTAAAATTAATGTTAATTTTCTCCATTTAAAAAATATACTTGGGTATCTATCATTTCCATTTTTTGAAAAACAAATTCATCATTTTCATCTATTGTTTTGATTTTTTTATTGTGGTAAGAATACTTCACATGAGATCTACCTACTTAACGAATCTGTAAGCGCGCGGTACAGTATTGTTAACTATAGGTATTATGTTGTGCCGCACATCTTTAGAACTTAATTATCTTGAATAACTGAGACATAATATTCATTGAACAACATCTCATTTTGCCCTGCTAGCCACTGGCAACTGCCATCCTACTCTGCCTCTATGATCTTGACTATTTCGGTCATCTCATATTGCACAACCTTTGTATTTCTCCTTCTGTGACTAGCTTAAACTAGAACAATTCTAAATCAAGATTAGAATAATATAATAAATAAGCTTGATCTAATGTTTATAACTGAAAAGTTGCATTCAACATCAAACATCAGAATGGACCTCCAGGGGCGCCTGGGTGGCCCAGTGGGTTAAAAGCCTCTGCCTTCAGCTCAGGTCATGATCTCAGGGTCCTGGGATCGAGTCCCGCATCGGGCTCTCTGCTCAGCAGGGAGCCTGCTTCCCTCTCTCTCTGCCTGCCTCTCTGCCTACTTGTGATCTCTCTGTGTCAAATAAATAAATAAAATCTTTAAAAAAAAAAAGAAAAGAAAAGAAGAAGTAAGCAATGAGTTTAGATCCTGACTTAAGAAGCTGGAAAAGGAATAGCAGAATAAATGCAAAAAAGCAGTAGGGAGGGAGGTTCAAAATAAGAAGCAAAAATTAATCAAATAGAAAACAAACATAAGGGGCGCCTGGTGGCTCAGTGGGTTAAAGCCTCTGCCTTTGGTTCAGATCATGATCCTGGGGTCCTGGGATCGAGCCCCGCATCAGGTTCTCTGCTCGGCGGGGAGCCTGCTTCCTCCTCTCTCTCTGCCTGTCTCTCTGCCTACTTGTGATCTCTGTCGGTCAAATTAATAAATAAAATATTTAAATAAATAAATAAAATAAAAAATAAATAAAATTTTTAAAAAAGAAAACAAGGGGCGCCTGGGTGGCTCAGTGGGTTAAAGCCTCTGCCTCCAGCTCAGGTCATGACCCCAGGGTCCTGGGATCAAGCCCCACATCGGGCTGTCTGCTCTGCAGGGAGCCTGCTTCCTCCACTCTCTCTCTCTCTGCCTGCCTCTCTGCCTACTTGTGATCTCTGTCAAATAAATAAAGAAATAATCTTAAAAAAAAAAAAAGAAAACAAACATAAAATATGAAGGTTCAAGAAAGCTAAATGCTGGACCTTTGGAAAGACTAAAAATGTGGTAAATATGACACAAACCTGGCAATGAAAAAAGAAAAAATTAAGTATGAAAAATGAAGCATGGCATGGCTCAGTGGGTTAAAGCCTCTGCCTTCAGCTCGGGTCATGATCCCAGAGTCCTGGGATTGAGCCCCACATTGGGCACTCTGCTCAGCGGGGAGCCTGCTTCCCTCTCTCTCTGCCTGCCTCTCTGCCTACTTATGATCTCTCTCTCTCTCTGTCAAATAAATAAATAAAATCTTTAAAAAATAATAATAAAATAAAATTAAAAAATGAAGCACGTAACTACAGATGCAGCACAAATAAAGTTAAGAAAGAAAACATTTTGCGTAAGTTTATGTCAATAAATTTCAAAATTTATACAAAATGTATAAACCTATAGAAATATATAAATTACCAAAACTAACTCAAGAAGAAATCAAATAGCTGAATGGTCCTATAGTCATTAAAAGAAACTGAACCATGAGCTTAAAATTCTCCCACAGAGAAATACCATACTCCTCCTACAGACAAGCTTAGTTTACACAATTAAGTACTTAAGATGTTAAAAATGAATGACCCTTAGAGTTCCTTGTATTAATATGGAGGTTATAATGTTGTATAAACAGTATGATTATACAAAGTTTTAAAACAAGTAAAACTAAGTCCTATATTTTTTAGGACAAACGTGTGTGCAGTAGAAATGATTATCAGAAATTTCAGAATAATTGCTTTCTGAGGAGAGACAAGAGGACGAGATCACAAAGAGCCACATGGTTGAGAGATGTGAAGACTTCAAAGATACTTAATATTCTACCATATTTCATCAATGTTAACAAGCCCATTTTTTTCACGTTTCTGAAATAAGGATGTGCCTTACAGACTACAGCATCTTATAATTAATGATTCTTAGCATCCTTTTTTTCTTTCTCAGTGACACATAAATAAGAATGTAACTTACAAACCATGGACTCCATGAAAATATGGCTAATTCTTAAAACTATATGGTGGAAATGGGCATACAGTTTATTTTTAATTATCTACTTCATATATGATAAATATTTTTACATATTCAATGTATAATAAAATCAAGTTAAAATAGATTATGTCATGGGTTGGGTTAGTATAGCAGGAAGATTAGGGAAAAGGACAAAATTAGATAGGATGGAGGGCATAGATGGTGATGGTCTATAAAGATAAAACAGGGGGCGCCTGGATGGCTCAGTGGGTTAAAGCCTCTGCCTTCGGCTCAGGTCATGATCTCAGGATCCTGGGATCAAGTCCCGCATCGGGCTCTCTGCTTGGCAGGGAGCCTGCTTCCTCCGGTCTCTCTCTCTCTGCCTGCCTCTCTGCCTGCTTGTGGTCTCTCTCCATCAAATAAATAAATAAAATCTTTAAAAAATAAATAAAAAAAGACAAGACAGTAAGGTGATGGTGAGGTGAATAAGATCACAGATTCCAAGACAGAGATAGAGACAGGCACAGAAACCTGTAGGAGTCAGGACAGAATAAGATAGAATATGAAATCTGGAGGTTGGTTCTAAAGTCAGGGACGACAAGGGTAAGAGAGAGGGCTGAGGCTCCAGAGCAGTGCTGTTCTGTAGAACTCTCTGCACTGATGGAAATTTCCACATCTGTCCCATTCAATATGGCAGCTACTAGTACATTATGATGTTACCAAACACCTGAAGTGTGGTTACCATGACTGAGGAACTGAACTTCTACATATTCCATTTTAATTAATTAAATAGCCACAAGTAGTTAGTGACTAGAGTTTTGGACAGCACCGCTCTAGAGCGTCCACAGCTCCTAAATCCAGACAGAGGGCAGGGAGAGGGGCACTAGCCCCAGGACACTCACCAGCCACTATGAACAGAACGATGGCAAAGCCAAGGACGTAGTAAGGCCACTGCACGGAGAACTGGGGGGGGCTGGGCTTCATCCTCAGATTCTGGATCTCCAGGGCATGCAGCAACAAGGCCAGGAAGGCACAGACCCCTGCAGGGTCACAGGGAGGCACTCTTGCTCTCCTCCCATGGTTCCCACCTTTGCTCTTAATCCGACAGAGGCACATGGTCCACACCGGTGGGGCTCCTGTGCGGAGGCTGTTTTCTCCAGCCCACACCTATGCCCTATCAGAGCCCATAACCTCGACCCCACACGCCTATCTTTGCCTCCATCCCAACTCATTTCAGAGCCCATGTGCCTCAGCTCCCAGGAGCCCCATAACCAGAAATCCCTTTCCCGGGTCCCCTCTGTGCCCGTGCTGTTGGCTGACTCCAGTTGGGGCCCCTGGGTGCGATGCTTTGGGTGCAACTCAACCTGATTCTCCCACTGTGAGCATTCCACCTTCTCCATGTGATGGGAGCCTCCCGGGGGAGGGCCTTGGCCAGCCTTTTAAAGTCAAAAGGTTCCAAAGGGCAGAGATGGTGTCTTCCGTCCACTCATCCAAGAAACACTTATATTTCACTCATACTATATATTTCACTTCCACATTGTCATTCTGCGCCAGATTCTATGACAGTGGCTGGGATAGAGATGATGGCAAAAAAGAACCCCAGACCGATGACCCCAAGCCAATGCAGTGAGGGCTGTGCTAGCTGTAGTGCAGGGGGCCGAGTGGCCCCTGGGGAGAGCGACTGTCATCCTGGGGGGCAGACAGCCTCAGAGAAGGCAGCAGGTGAGAGGGGCCCTAAAAATTCCCTCTCTCCTGACATCACAGAAACCAACCATCTCCCTGCTTTGGGGTCCCGCCACCCCAACCCCTTCCCAAGGCTGAGGCTTGCCTGAGGACAAGGCTTGCCTGCCTCTTCCACACCTGTGAGGAAGCTGATGAAGGCTGACACCAGATTGTGCTTCCAGGTCCTGGGAAACAGCTGAGACGCAAAGGACACCAGGATGAAGGTGGTGAGGAAAGACAGGACAACCGCAGACAGCAGGAAAACGCGGCCGAGAATGATGTACACTGCAGGGGAGGGAAGCTGGGCTGCAGCTGGAAACCCTGACCCGTGACCAGGGACAGAGCCCCGCAGAGCCTGCAGAGAAGGCCCCCGGAGCCCGCCACCCTCAGTCCCACAGTGCACCATGGGACCACGGCTCCAACCCCACCACTTGGCCTCTGAGAAGGCTCTGGTTCCAACATTTTGTTCCCCATGACATGGAAGTGTATGGGGAAAAAAAAAACTAGATGGACAAACAGTCTTTTCAATAAACAATAAAAATTATAAAAGTTGCATGTGGAAATGTGAAGAATTGTATCAGTATTGGTCACACTGAAATAAGCCCTTGGTGGAAAATCAGAACTTATGCAGTTAAGATGTTTTGAACTCGGAGGGGGTGGGGGGGGTTAATGCTTATTTATTTATCCCAGTTAACAGAAGTAATGAAACAGATCCAAAATGGCAGAGCCAGGGTCTCAATGATCCCCTACTATTGGCGTGACTCAGACGCACATTAAAACATGTCTGTACGCCCTCCTAAGCACAGAGAGATGGACAGCTAGGGGTGGGACAAAAAGACAAAGGTGTTGCTAAAGACCCAAATGTTCTAGAATCTACTCTAGGGTTAAGCCAATGGTTCTCAATCAGGTGCAGTTTTATAGCCCCTGCTGGGGATATCTGGCCATGCTAAGAGGTAATTTTAGCTGTCACAACTGAGGCATCAATCGGGTCGGAGGGAGTAAGGGTGTGTTAACTGTCCTGCATGAAACAGGAGCGCCCCCACAACAAAGAGTATCCAGCCAAAGTGTCAGCAGCACCGAGGCTGAGGACCCCCAGATCGAAGAGCACACACGGCGTGACCCATCTTCCCCAAAGAGGTTTCTCCTCTTTTGTCACCAGGAGAGAGGACTCTTTCCCAAAGAGGCTCGCCCCTTTTCCAAGACAGACATCCTCCTGACCTCCCTAAGTCCCTTGTAAAATGCAGCCTCAAGTGCATCCATGGTCCACTGGGCTCATATCCGCCTGTTTTCCCTTGAAAATGTGGTACTCAGGCCTGAGCACCTTATCTGCCGGGTTGCCACCTGCAGTCGGACAGGTGTTCAGCAGAGGGGACAAGTGGGGGCTGAAATCCAGCCTGGGTTCTACTAACAAGGCTGTTCCCCAGCTGGGAGCTGTGCCCACCAAAAAGGGTCCCTTGTCGGGGAACTAACAGCAGCCCTGGGAGGTGGTGGAGCCTCACGCAGTAGGGCAAGACCCCCCGCCCCTCCATCCTAGGTAAAGCCACTCCTACCCCAGAAATCAACTTCCTTGCAGACACATTTGCTCCTGACCCTGGTGGTCAACTTGATACTATCAACTTTTTGCTAGCCACGTACTTTACTCTAACCTAGAGAGCAGAGACTCAGAAAATCTCCTTATGCACTTACTAAATTCTGTCCTCTCTGACTCCATCTGGTCCTCTGTCACCCAAGTCCCCATGCTGGCCCCATCTCCCCCTGTCCTGTCCCTGCCTCCATCCCTCCTTACCTGATAAGGGTCGAGGCTTCCAGCACTTGATATGGAAGCAGTTCTCAAACAGGCCACTGAAAAACACCTCGTGAGACTCCTCGTTTACAAGCCGTACCCAGAAGGGAAAGATGGAGACCAGCAGTATGAGCAGGTAGCCCAGGGAGGTCAAGGCTGGGGCTATGGCCCACGTGAATCCCTTCATATCCTTGTTCTCTAAAGTCATCATCACCTGTTCAAGGGAAAAGTGAGGGCTTCTCATGCAGAACAGGGGAAGAAGATGACGCCTGCAGAAATGTTAGTACATAAGTGAGGCTCGGGAAATGTTGATTTCTTGGCCTGGATAAACTTGACAACGTTACAGACCGCTTCAGCAGACCTAAAATATGCACGAAACGTTTTCTGCCACTGAGTCACTGGGGGATCTTGGGCAAGTAGGGTCCCTTCTCTGAGCCCCAATTTCCACCTCAATAAATGATGTTGGACTAGGCCAGTCCCAAAGCCCCACCAACCCTAAAGTTCTCACCGCTCAATTCTGTTAACAATCACCCCACCTGCAAAGACCCCCTGCACTGTGCTCCGCAGGCAGCTAACAGCCAATAGCTTTGGGGATTTCAGGATGACGATGGGGGTGGTCATTAGGCCGGGGTCTGAAGTGCAGAAGACAGGGCCCTCGAGAGTGAGTGGGCTGCTCTCTCTGGTCCACACCCTGTGCAATCCCCCCCCAGGCACTGGGGCCTCTCCGCGGTCCCAACGCAGACCCCCGCAACTGCAGCTGGGGCAGGGAATGTCTCTGAGGCTGTGGGACCCGCAGAGCGGGGGGTGCGCTCATGCACGCACACCCCCCCCCCAAAAAATCTGCTGTTTATAAACACGTGAATGGCTACTCCTCTCTGAGTGGTCTCAGACTGGTTTGGAAACAGCCTCCTGCACTTTGCCCTCCTTCCTGTCACTAGCTTCTCTTCTTCCCACCTGAATAATCCTTTGCTCTGTCCAAAGCTCCCCTTAGATCTTCCCTACACCCCCCAGGCCACACCACTCAGTCACGTCACTGCTGGGCCTCAGTTTCCTTGCTCTAAAATGATGGAGGCAGGCAGTACCGAGAGCAGTCCTAGCTCTACAGCCCTCTGGATGGAGCCATCCTGACACCCCTTCTCCAGGTGGGGTGGAGTCCTCTAGACACTGTCAGCAGATGGTCTGCACCTCCGCCTGCTCCCCCGCAACCTCCCCGCAACTTGCCTAAAACAGGCTTTCGTGTTTTCCCTGTTTTGTCATGCTCTATCACCACGCGACACCTCCATCTCATCGGCCGTCCTCCCAGGAAGTCCCCAAGCCCCTACCCTTCCTGCCCCATACCCACAGGTCTCCCTTCCAACCAGCTCCAGCCTCCCTGCGGTCCTTCCCTCCCCAGGGTGGGGCGGGGGGGCCCTCTGCCTCTCCCATAAAGCTCAGCTTGGCCCCATCATCCACTGCACCCCAGCCCTCCCAGCCACCAGCCACTACCTGTCATTCCATCCACACTTACCGGACGCCCCATGCCCAGCTTAGGCCAGCGGTAAGGATTCAGGGATGAGAAAAGACAGGAACTCGCAGGCTCTTGTTAACTAAGGGGGAGAAAGACACAAAAAACAGGTCACTGGGTACAAAGCTTTCCTCCCCCGCTGTCTGGGTGACTTCAGGGCCGATGTACCCCAGCGTGTCACGTCATATCTGCCCCCCTCTGCCACCTGGCAGCTCTCCAGTGAGGAGGACCTTGCCAGCCTTCTGGAACAGCCCTTAGCACAGGGATTAGAACACTGCACCCCATGGACATACAACTTGGGGGATGCACTGATCTAGGCCAGACTCAAAGGCCCCTAGACATGTTAATACAACAGGGAATCCTGTTTGTATTCAGGGGGTCCCTGTATGTATACAGGGACCCCTTTGTACTGTTGAAACAGAGAACAGGAGAGTAAGACCCACCACAGTCGGTCAGCGCAGGGCTGCCCCTCCCTCCCACTTCAGGCCTCAGGCCCAGAGGTCAGCTTGGTGACTTTCAAATCAGGAACCAGTGAATTCTTCCTACTAGATAAGCTCATTTACAGGAGTGAGAAAGAGAGAGTGAATGGGGTGTGCGGTGGGTTACAGAATTGCTAAAACTTTTAATTTTGCCAAAAGCACTAGGGTGGCTCAGTGGGTTACACCTCCGCCATGGGCTCAGGTCGTAATCCCAGGGTCCTGGTATCCAGTCTTGCCTCGGGTTCCTTGCTCAACAGGGAGCATGCTTCTCCCTCTCCCTCTGCTGCTCTCCCTGCTTGTGGTCGCTTTCTCTCTCTCTCAAATAAATAAAATCTTAAAAAAAAAAAAAAAGGCATTCCAAACAAAACAAAAACAACTGTCAGCAACTATCACACTGTCTTAATTATTATTTTAAAAGGACCCAAGAAAGTAAAAGAGTTGCAGCTTGGTGGAGCCTCGACCAGCCGGGAGCCGCGGGCCTGGGGGAGCTTCCTCAATCGGGGTTCCCTCTGGGAGAGTCCCTGAGCCACCCTGCAGCAGCCTGGATGCAGCCCTGTTCCCTCCCGAGGCCCCGCGCATCCCCGGGGACAGCAGGGAACTGTACTGGGAATGAAAGGCATGGACGAAAGAAAGTACATCTGGTCGAAACAGTGGGGGTACCTGTCAGGGCCACTGGAGCCTCAGCCCCTTTCCCACCAGTGATTCGGGGCAACTTGGGCAGCAAACTGACCCCGGTTTGGTCAGAGGATCCTTCCCGCCGACAAGCTTCCTTGGCCCTTCTCTGGCCCCAAAGCCACGGGGACATTTTCCAGACCCCAAAATGGACCCAGATCTGACGATCTGCTCCCATCCCACAGTGGGTCCCAACAGCCCGTAGGGTTCTGTGCGGCCTGGAGGTGGGGGGTTGGGGGCCCTTTTCACAACCTCTTATCCGCGGAGACACCCTGCCCCTCCCTCCCCCGCGGCCTCCCTTCCCTCCTTGGGAACCGTCAGGGTCTCCCGGTCTCCGGGGCAGGGCTTCCCTCCAGGAGGGTCCCTCACCCGCGCCTTGGACCCCGGCCCGGAGTTTCGAGTTTCCGTTGGGCCCGGAGGCCGGGAGCGAGAGGATGCGCGGTCTGCGGACGGAGCCCACGGAGCCCGCGGGGCCCTGCGGAGGGGGGCAGGGACTCTCCCGCCCTGCGACCGCACCCGCCCGCCACTCACCTGGCTCTCGGCAGTCCCTGGCCTCCGCCCCTGTTCGCGGTGGGTGCGCTGAAGGAGGTGGAAGCGATCCGGAGCCGGGCAGATCTGAATTCGAATTCCAGCTCTGCCATTACCAGGAGGGCGACCTTGGGTAAGTTATTTCCCCTTCCTGGGTGTCAGTTTTCTCATTCCTGAAACAGGAATGGTAATAATAACTCCTCCTGCCAGACGGCTGAAAGGGCCTAATGGCAAGTGCCTGGAAGAAGGCCCCATAGTGTGTTCATTTATACTTTTTTCCAGCTTTTTGGTATATTGAAATCTCTCAGATAAAATTATTGTTTAAGAACTTATACACAGCAGGGCGCCTGGGTGGCTCAGTGGGTTAAAGCCTCTGCCTTCAGCTCAGGTCATGATCCCAGGGTCCTGGGATCAAGGCCCGCATCAGGTTCTCTACTCAGCAGGGAGTCTGCTTCCCCTCTGTCTCTGCCTGCCTCTCTGCCTACTTGTGATCTCTGTCTGTCAAATAAATAAATAAAATCTTTAAAAAAAAAAAAAAAGGACATATACACAGCTGGATGCTAAACTCAGGTTTATCATTCAGCTACGAGGTATCTCAGTGCTTTCTCCAATGACAGATAAGATGTTCACTGCATACAGTCCTTGCCCTCATGGAGCTTGCAATCCAGCACAGAGACAAGCAACTGAATATCTCTTTCTTTTTTTTTTCAGATGTGATCAGTGCACAAAGGAACGTAGGTAGCTACAGGGATTGCAGAGGCAAATACAGTTCAAGGGAAGACCTGCAAGGAGGCAGGATTTAGACGGAATCTTATCCCCGAAAGGGGACTGCATTGTGCAAATGTTTTCACTGGCTCTACAGCAAGAACTACTATACAGAGCACACACGTGTGCACATGCACACAGAAAAGCTTCACTTACCTTTGCTACACTCAGTGCATGCAACTATTGTCTATCCTCCTCCTAATTTTTTCTTTTACCCTCAGTGCTGGTTGCAACTCACTATGATAAATTAATTTATGACCCATTAGTTGCTTTGACCTACATTTGAAAAATACTGTCTTCAGGGACCCAACAGATTTTAAAATGACTGGAAGGAGTACCCCCAAGAGGACTGAAGAAATCAATGGGCAGAGCTGGGACGTGAAGGGTCTTGTAGAATTTCATCCTAAGGGCCATGACAGGTGAGATGAAAGCAGTCATGTTTGGATGCCAGAACTAAATTCCTCTTCCTCCTCCCATCTTCCCTTTGCCCAAAGACTCCTACCTCTTTAAACAGAGCACAGGAAATGCCTCTCACCCAGGGGTCCCAAGGCTATATACACAGCAAGGCTAGGGGCTACCAGACCAGCAAACACTAGGACTGGAAATTCTAGAAGGTGTGAATAGGTTTAGGTTATAGCCTCCTCTAAAAATATTTTCATATTTTCCCAGCTCCAGGGTAGAGGATGGACAACAGAAGAGTAATTGCCTGCTGGAAAAGGGTGTGGACCCCCCCCCCCCGGAGCTGGGGCTCTGACTTCCCCTAGGCTCTGTGCTTCCTTTCAGCCAGAGCGTCAAAGGGAAAACCCAAGTCACCCAAACTGTAGTTTTACCAGGTAATAGAACTGGGAAGGGAGCAGGTGCCTGCTCCCTCCCCCCACTACCAAGCTTACTGCCCTCAGGGAATCCCCTCACTAGCTGGCTCCAAATCCAAGGCCAGAGCCCCCTCCCACAGCTCCTTCCTCCTGGGACACCCTCCCTCCACTTTCTTTTCTTTTCTTTTTTTAAATTTCTTTTCAGCATAACAGTATTCATTGTTTTTGCACCACACCAGTGCTCCATGAAATCCGAGCCCTCCCCAATACCCACCACCTGGTTCCCCCAACCTCCCACCCCGACCCCCGCCCCTTCAAAACCCTCAGGTGGTTTTTCAGAGTCCAGAGTCTCTCATGGTTCACCTCCCCTTCCAATTTCCCTCAACTCCCTTGTCCTCTCCATCTCCCCTTGTCCTCCATGTTATTTGTTATGCTCCACAAATAAGTGAAACCATATGATAATTGGCTCTCTCTGCTTGACTTATTTCACTCAGCATAATCTCTTCCAGTCCCGTCCATGTTGCTACATAAGTTGGGTATTCATCCTTTCTGATGGAGGCATAATACTCCATAGTGTATATGGACCACATCTTCTTTATCCATTCGTCCGCTGAAGGGCATCTTGGTTCTTTCCACAGTTTGGTGACCGTGGCCATTGCTGCTATAAACATTGGGGTACAGATGGTCCTTCTTTTCACTACATCTGTATCTTTGGGGTAAATACCCAGTAGTGCAATTGCAGGGTCATAGGGAAGCTCTATTTTTAATTTCTTGAGGAATCGCCACACTGTTTTCCAAAGAGGATGCACCAACTTGCATTCCCACCAACAGTGTAAGAGGGTTCCCCTTTCTCCACATCCTCTCCAACACATGTTTCCTGTCTTGCTAATTTTGGCCATTCTAACTGGTGTAAGGTGGTATCTCCATGTGGTTTTAATTTGAATCTCCCTGATGGCTAGTGATGATGAACATTTTTTTCATGTGTCTGATAGCCATTTGTATGTCTTCATTGGAGAAGTGCCTGTTCATATCTTCTGCCCATTCTTTGATATGATTATCTGTTTTTTGCATGTTGAGTTTGAGGAGTTCTTTATAGATCCTGGATATCAACCTTTTGTCTGTACTGTCATTTGCAAATATCTTCTCCCATTCCGTAGGTTGCCTCTTTGTTTTCTTGACTGTTTCCTTTGCCGTGCAGAAGCTTGTGATCTTGATGAAGTCCCAAAAGTTCATCTTCGCTTTTGTTTCCTTTGCCTTTGGAGACATATCTTGAAAGAAGTTGTTGTGGCTGATATCGAAGAGGTTACTGCCTATGTTCTCCTCTACGATTCTGATGGATTCCTGTCTCACGGTGAGTATCACTGATGAATATGGATGCTAAGATTCTCAACAAGATCCTAGCAAACAGGATCCAACAGCCATTAAAAAGATTATCCACCATGATCAGGTGGGATTCATCCCTGGGTTACAAGGATGGTTCAACATTCGCAAATCAATCAGTGTGATAGAACAAATTAATAAGAGAAGAGAGAAGAACCACGTGGTCCTCTCAATTGATGCAGAAAAAGCATTTGACAAAATCCAACATCCGTTCCTGATTAAAATGTTTCACAAAGTATAGGGATAGAGGGAACGTTCCTGAACTTCATAAAATCTATCTATGAAAGACCCACAGCAAATATCATCCTCAATGGGAAAAAGCTTGCAGCCTTCCCGTTGAGATCAGGAACATGACAAGGATGCCCACTCTCACCACTCTTGTTCAACATAGTATTAGAAGTCCTAGCAGCAGCAATCATACAACAAAGAGAAATAAAAGGTATCCAAATTGGCAATGAAGAAGTCAAACTCTCTCTCTTCACAGATGACATGATTCTTTATATGGAAAACCCAAAAGACTCCACCCCCAAACTACTAGAACTCATACAGCAATTCAGTAACGTGGCAGGATACAAGGTCCATGTACAGAAATCAGTGACTTTCTTATACACTAACAGTGAAAATACAGCAAGGGAAATTAGAGGATCGATTCCATTTACTATAGCACCAAGAACCATAAGATACCTGGGAATAAACCTAAACAAAGAGGTAAAGGATCTGTACTCGAGGAACTACAGAACACTCATGAAAGAAATTGAAGAAGACACAAAAAGATGGAAGACCATTCCATGCTCTTGGATCAGAAGAATAAACATTGTTAACATGTCTATACTGCCTAGAGCAATCTATACTTTTAATGCCATTCCAATCAAAATTCCACCAGTATTTTTCAAAGCGCTGGAGCAAATAATCCTAAAATTTGTTTGGAATCAGAAGAGACCCTGAATCGCTAAGGAAATGTTGAAAAACAAAAATAAAACTGGGGGCATCACGTTACCTGATTTCAAGCTTACTACAAAGCTGTGATTACCAAGACAGCATGGTACTGGCATAAAAACAGACACATAGACCAGTGGAACAGAGTAGAGAGCCCAGATATGGACCCTCAACTCTATGGGCAAATAATCTTCGACAAAATAGGAAAAAATATACAGTGGATAAAAGTCTCTTCAATAAATGGTGCTCGGAAAACTGGACAACTATGTGTAGAAGAATGAAACTCGACCATTTTCTTACACCGTACACAAAGATAAACTCAAAATGGATAAAAGACCTCAACGTGAGACAGGAATCCATCAGAATCGTAGAGGAGAACATAGGCAGTAACCTCTTCGATATCAGCCACAGCAACTTCTTTCAATATATGTCTCCAAAGGCAAAGGAAACAAAAGCGAAAATGAACTTTTGGGACTTCATCAAGATCACAAGCTTCTGCACGGCAAAGGAAACAGTCAAGAAAACAAAGAGGCAACCCACGGAATGGGAGAAGATATTTGCAAATGACAGTACAGACAAAAGGTTGATATCCAGGATCTATAAAGAACTCCTCAAACTCAACACACAAAAAACAGATAATCATATCAAAGAATGGGCAGAAGATATGAACAGACACTCCTCCCTCCACTTTCACATGGGGACCCTGATGGACTCCACAGTCCCAGCCCCATCCTCTTACTAGCCCTTAGTGACTAAGGCACAGATACTATGTGGTCTTTTTGTGTCTTTCTCTCAGCACCTGTAAAGCATTTATATTCTCTATCGCATGGGTTCTCAACCTTAGGTGCACATTAGAATTACCTGGGAACTTGCAAAAGCCCAATATCCAGGCCAAACTCCACACCATAAAATCTCTGACACTGGGACCGAGGCAATAGTCTTCTGAAAGCTACCCAGGTGATTCCAGTATGCAACCTAAGTTAAGAATTCCTGCTCTACTGGGTCCTGTTGCAGCTGGGAGCTATGAGGGACCAGGGAGGTGGGGTTACTATGGCATCAGGTGACCAGTCATCCCAGTTTTCCCAGGACCGAACATTTCCTGGTGTGGAATGTCCAGTACTAAGACAGAGAAAGGCCTAACAACTGGGCTGAGTGGTTGCCCTTGTGTTTACCTGAGGTCTAAGAGCTTGGTCAGTTGCTTGGCCACTTGTAATGATTGTGCCCAAAGAATCAGGGCCCCCACTTTAGTGTTTTGTTTTGTCTTTTTTAACATTTTAAGT